GTGTATTCTCTGCATTTTAAATTGGAGACAGCTGAGGTTTAGAGAAGTTAAGTAACTTGCCCAAGTGCATGTCAGCTGGTAGGTGACAGAACCAGGATTTGAACCTAGGGTCTTCCCTGGTGGCTCAGTCTGCCTGCAATGCAGGAGACCCAGGTTCAATCCCTGGGTCGGGAAGATCCTATGGAGAAGGAAATGGCTACCCACTCCAGTATTCTTGATTGGAGAATTCCATAGACAGAGGAGCCTGGTGGGCTATAGTCCATGGGGTCACAAAGAGTTGGATACGACTCAGTGACTAACACTTTACTTTCACTCCAACCCCAGAATTTGTGCTCTTGACCATTATGTTATACTGCCCTGACGATGACTAAGACAGCCTTTTTAAGTAATTTTTAAAAAATAATTACTTATTTTTGGTTGTGCCGAGTCTACGTTGCTGCCTGGGCTTTTCTCTAGTTTCAGCGAATGGGAACTACTCTTCGTTGCATTGTGTTGTGATGCATGGGCTTTTCATTGTGGTAACTTCTCTTGTTGCCTAGGCTCTAGGGCACATGGGCTTCAGTAGGTGCAGCTCCCAGACTCCAGAGCCCAGGCTCAATAGTTGTGCTGCGTGGGCTTAGTTGCTCCACAGCATGTAGGATCTTCCGAGATCAATGATCAAATCCATGTCTCCTACATTGGCAGGTGGATTCTTTACCTCTGAGTCACTAGGGAAGCCCTATCATAGTCTTTATAAAAATAAGCCTAAAACTGCATATTTTAGCCTTTAAAAAAATCTAGATACTCTTGATCCCATTTACTTTGTGTTTTGATTTTATGTTTGAGAATTCCCAGTATCTGTAGTTCCCAAAGCCGTACTGGGTAGATCTCCATGCCAGATAAACATTGTGCTCTCTGAGTTTGTCTCAATTTCCAGTCCAGAAAGGTATACCTATTTGGGGCCTTCTTTCCTCCTTTAAGAACTCACCTTAGTCCTATCTTCTTACCTCCATGTACATAGAATTTATTATCGATATATCTTCATCATGGCAATTTCTGTGTTTTAAGAACATGAAGAAAAGCTGCTTCTAACAGAAATTTAGGAGATTCCTGTTTTGATAATTAGATATCTTCAGTTTCATACCATTGTAAAAGATCTTACCACTTGAAAAAAAATGCTGTAGAAGCAAAGATTGTTTCCTAGCCATATAAGCAGTACAGGTTATTTTATCCAGAAGTTCAATGTGTTTTTCCTTTTGGAAAATAATTGGCATGTGGTAACTTTGGGGACCTTTTTCAATGACTGTCAAGGTGCTTCAAAATGGTTATTTTTCACTTTTCAACGAAAGATTAGCTTTGCTTGCATTGCTTGATTTCAGCTGCCTGGCATTAATTTTGGTTTTCATAGCAGCAAGAGTAAGCAACTGGTAATGAAGTAGATAGAATTACTGTAGATTTCAGAGTCCCACCACTGGAAACATTTTGAATAGCTCCAGTGTTGAACACCTGTGCTGCTTTTTTTGACACACAGAATTTGCTAATTGAAAAATGATACACTCATTATTATATGTAGCTATATTGTGGTATAATTGATGTGTAATTAATTGTAGTGTATATGATTTTTTGATACATTTGTACACCTTTGAAATCATCACTACCAATCAATATAATGAACATAGCCATCATTCCCCAAAGTTTCCTCCTACCCTTTCTAATTCTTCCTTCTGTCATTACTTCTCCATCATTACCATTCCGTTTTCTGTCACTGTGAGTTAGTGTGTATTTTCCAGAGCTTTATACAAAGGGAATCACATAATAATCCTTTTTTTTTTTTTTTGGCTTCTTTCCCTCAGCATAATAATTTTTTAGATTCAGGTTGTTGTGTGAATCGGTAGTTTATTCCTTTACATTGCTGGTAATACTAGAGTATAGATATATCACAATATCCATTCTTCTGCTGAGGGATATTTGAGTTGTTTCTAGTTTTGGGGTATTATGAATAAAGCCTTTGTGTTTATCTCATTGTATAGACGCAGGCTTTCTTTTGCCTTAGTAAAAATACCTAGGAGTGAAATGACTAGATTATATGGTAGGTGTATGATTAACTTTTAAAGAAATTTCCAAGATATTTTCATACTGATTGTACCACATATTTTATGAATAGCAGTGTATGAAAGAGTTCCAGTTTCTCCACATCCTTATCAACACTTGATATTGTTTTTGTTGTTTAGTCACTTAAGTCATGTCTGACTCTTTTGTGACCCCATGGACTGTAGTTTGCCAGGCTCCTCTGTCCTTGAGATTTCCTGGGCAAGAATACTGGAGTCCATTACCATTTCCTTCTTCAGGGGATCTTCCTGATCCAGGGATCAAACCCAAGTCTCCTGCTTGGTGGGTGGATTCTTTACCACTGAGTCACCTGGGAAGCCCTGCCAATTAAATATAAGTGAAAGTGAAGTTGCTCAGTCATGTCCACCTCTTTGTGACCCCATGAACTGTAGCCTGCCAGGCTCCTCTGTCCATGGGATTTTCCAGGCAAGAATACTGGAGTGGGTTGCCATTTCCTTCTCCAGGAGATCTTCCCCAACCCAGGGATCAAACCCAGGTCTCCCTCATTGTAGGCAGACACTTTACTGTCTGAACCACCAGGAAGTCTTTTTTAATATAGGGATTAAATATAGGGATAGGGATTATATATAGGGATAAATTAAATATAGGGATAGGGTAAAGATTTCTTGGATATGCAGGGGGTCAAAGTGTATCTCTATATCTATTGATAAGTGTATGTGTCATGCATTCTTTTTTTCAAAATACAACTAAAGAATGCTTCTGCAAAATGAACAAATAAATCAAGGGAAAGATAGCTCTAAAAGAGAGGAGAAAGGAATTCCCAGGATGACAGCTAATGAATCAGACCCAGATCTCCAGTTTATATTGAAGAGGGAAGGCTTAGAGTTGAGTGAGAAGAGATCTCTAGGGGAGAAAAATGTAACTGAGGGAGTATTTATGTTGGAGCATTTGAAAAAAGTACTGAAAGTCCTGTAAAAATGATTTATTATTTTGTTTTGGCTTGGTTAAAGGAGTTGACAGAAGTATATAATGATGGTAATAATACAATATGTCATATTTATGTTTTCCTATGTATTATGCCATTTGATTTTCTTAACTATTCTGAGAAAATAGACAGCCCAGTGTTATTCTTCTTGTTGTTTGTCATTATATTCCCATGAAAATATGCTCAAAGACATTGAATTATCACAGTAATAGATAACAAGACTAGATCCCTGGTCTAACTCCTGGCTACCCAAAAGTCTGAATGTGTGTCTTATATTATTCTCCTAAACTAATTTAATCCATCTCTGCACCTCAGATTTCTTAACACATAAGAAAGGCACATGGCAAAAATCTCCCTCTTCATGGCAGTCAACCAGTAACCCCCTGACTTGTTCCCAGTTTGCTGTGACCTTTATTTTGCTTCTTATATCTTGACTTACTGTTTGAACTTGCTAAAAGTGCTGGGCACTGTGCTCAGCATTGGGAATACAAAGATGAATAAAACATGGTCCCACTCCTTGAGGAGCTTCCAGTGAGAGTCTTTTCATTGAGAATACAGCTATATAAACAAATATAACTATATTGATGATATAATAAAGATATGTTTGGAGTACTGTAGTTCTACAAAAGAGGAAGGTCCTAATTGCGTGTAGAGAATAGGAAAAGCACAGACTGCGTATTATTAAAATTACATAGGAATTGTCAAGGAGAGGAAGGGAGTTTTAGTTAAAAATATGTAAAGGGATGAGATGTGAAAAACATTTTGTTCAGGACTACAAGGTCTTCAGATTAGCTAGAGTATTTGTAATATGTTGAGGAATGGCAGGACATGAGGCTGAATAGGTAAGAATTTGTATAACTTCAGTTTAGACTTTGTTCTGTAAGCCATGGTGAATTATTGAAGGATTTTAATTGGGGAGGAATATGATATGTATGATTTTGAAAGGTAATTCCGTGTATTGCAAAGCCAGTTGTAATTGGAAAAATTTGAGACCGGATCAAATGCCCAATTTAAATCACCAGTGATAATAGAGTGAAGTGAAGTTGCTCAGTCATGTCCACCTCTTTGCCACCCCATGGACTGTAGCCCACCAGGCTCCTCCATCCATGGAATTTTCTAGGCAAGAATACTGGAGTGGATTGCCATTTCCTTCTCCAGGGGACCTTCCTGGGTTCGAGCCCCGGGTCTCCTGCACTGTGGGCAGACACTTTACCGTTGAGCCACCAGGGAATCTTAGTAGTGATAATTGAAGGGTGGCAGAAATGCCACCCCAGAATATGCCTATTTGGCATAAGGATTATTTTGAGCTGATTATTTTTTAAAAAACAGACACAGAAGAAGTTCTGAAAACAGAGTAGAAGTTACCCTTTTGTGAAGGATATTTACATTTATGAAGGAAATCTTTTATAGGTGTCTTCGTCTCTGTTTCTGGGAAAGAAGGATGATTCTAAATCACAGGAAACTCCTATCAGTCTAAATGGCACCAACTTAAATCTGCATAACAAAACTTACCCTTGGTACTGTGCCTTTCCTAATTGTTGTTCAGTTGATAATTCGTGTCTGACTCGGTGAATCCATGGATTGCAGCCCACCAGGCTCCTCTGTCCACGGAATTCTCCAAGCAGGAAAACTGAAATGGGTAGCCATTCCCTTCTTCAGGGGATCTTCCCGACCCTGAGATCAAACCATGGTCTGCACCTGCAGGCAGATTCTTTACTGACTGAGCTATAGGGTCGCAAAGAGTCGGACACAACTGAAGTGACTAACAAAAACAATGTATAACAAGACAGATACTCTTTTAGTGTCAAATTTTGACTGTCAGATATTCTTTAGAATGTCTCCATCACCCTAATTTTATTTCTTTCTGAAACTTACTCATTCATCAGGCAAACATTTCTATGTGTTATTTTTGCTGTTATTTTTCTCAGATTGTTGGCACCACTAAAAGCTGATTTGATCCAAAGAGATGGCTGAACGTGATGGAAAACAAAAAATAAAATGGACAACCACCATTATTATTAGCTCATCTCTTAAGGTAAAAGAGGCATTTGGGCCATTGATCTTGAATTAAAAATTAAGCAATAGAACAGTATTTTAAAATACCTTTAGCTTGATTATCCAAAGTTGTGTGAATCAGCAAGTATATAATCTAAAATGTATTTTAAAGATAAATTAGGAAGATCACTGCATCCATTTTCCTACTTCTCTAAATACCTGAAAATTGGACATTTTCTTAAGTTTTTCTTTTTTTTTTCTCCCTAAGCCTATTCTAAGAGATGTTAAATGATTCCAGAAACAACGATTCATATGCACATACATTACTTAAGGTTTTTGGAGAAGTAAACAACAGGAACAGACCTGTCTAGACTTAGTAGCATTGAGAGGAGGCTGTCTCCCTACAGCTTGAAGGGGGAAGGAATGGGAAGTTGAATGCCTGAGGGCAATTGATTAGTGCTTCAACTCTACAACTAGCAGGATCATCTAACCCTTTCCCTGATGTTTATCTTATGGATACCACCTAATGTCTAGAATGAGGGGGCAAGAGATGATTCTTCATGATAAAGAATAGAGAGGTTAGAATAAGACTTTGCATACGATTTTTAAAAATCTTCCCTGTTCTTTCATTGTTGCCTCAAACTGCCCTCTGCTCTGTTGGCTTTAGCCAACAGCCAAGGCTGTTTTAAGACAGCCTTAAGTTTCATTGGAATGCTTCTTTTTGTTAGATTTCTGGAATCCGTATTTTTCTCCTGTATTTCTCTTGTTTCTTTAGCTTTGCCAGGGTGATTTTAAGAGAGGAAGCCAGCAACCAATACTAATTTGCCAAGAAAACTGCTTTTTATTTATTTATTATGTTTTATCTATCTTATTTTATGCTATTTGTCTCACCTTTTCTGTTTTTTGGTTTTTTTTTTTTTTTGCTTCTTTTTGTATTGATTGTTAATATTGTCTCTTTTTTTTTTTTCCTTAACTAGCTTTGGAAGTTATATGCTCTATTTCTGTTTTTTTAATAGTTACCCTAGAAAATTTAACATACATACTTAGCCCCACAAAGTCCAAAGTAAATAATAATTTTTTATTGTTTTTGTTGTTCAGTCGCTCAGTTGTGTCTGACTCTTCACAACCTCATGGACTGTAGCATGCCAGGCTCCTCTGTTCTCTACTACCTCTGAAATTTTGCTTAAATTCTTGTCCATAGAGTGGGTGATGCTGTCTAGCCATTTCATGCTCTGTCCCCCCTTCTCTTTCTGCCCTCAGTCTTTCCCAGCATCAGAGTCTTTTCCACTATGTTGGCTGTTTGCATCAGGTAGCCGAAGTATTGAAGCTTTAGCTTTAGCAAAGTCCTTCCAATGAATATACAGGGTTGATTTCCTTTAGGATTGATTAGTTTGATTTCATTGCAGTCCAGCGGACTCTCAAGAGCCTTCTCTAGTACCATACATGGCTACTGGAGAAACCATAGCTTTGACTAGATGGACCTTTGTTGGCAAAGTGATGTTTTTGCTTTTTAATACGCTGTCTAGGCTTGTCAGAGCTTTCCTTCCAAGAAGCAAGTGTCTTTTAATTTCATGGCTATAGTCACTGCAGTGATTATGGAGCCTAAGAAAATAAAATCTGTCTCTGCTTCCATTTTTTTCCCTTCTGTTTGCCATGAAGTGATGGGACTGGATGCCATGATCTTATTTTTTTAATGTTGAATTTCAGGCCAGCTTTTTCAGTCTCCTGTTTCATCCTCATCAAGAGGCTCCTTAGTTCCTCTTCACTTTTTGCCATCAGAGTGGTATCATCTCCATATTTGAGGTTGTTGATATTTCTCCTGGCAATCTTGATTCCATCTTGTGCTTCACCCAGCCTGGCATTTTGCATGATGTACTGTGCATGTAGGTTAAATAGGATGACATTATGTAGCCTTGTCATACTCCTTTCCCAATTAGGAACCAGTCCATTGTTCCTTGTCTGGTTTTAACTGTTGCTTCTTGACCCGCACACAGGTTTCTCGGGAGACAGATAAAGTGGTCTGGTACTCCCATCTCTAGTAATTTTCCACACTTGGTTGTGATCCACACAGTCAGTCTTTATCATAGTCAGTGAAGCAGGAATAGATGTTTTTCTGGAACTCTCTTGCTTTTGCCATGATCCAACCAATGTTGACAATTTGATCTCTGGTTCCTCTGCCTCTTTGAAGTTCATCTTGTACTCTGAAAGTTCTTGGATCACCTACTGCTGAAGCCTAGCTTGAAGGATTTTGAGTATTACCTTGCTAGCATGTGAAATGAGCACACTTGTACAGTATTTTGAACATTCTTTGGCATTACCCTTCTTTGAGATTGGAATGAAAACTGACGACTTCCAGTCCTGTGGCCACTGATGAGTTTTCTAAATTTGCTGACATATTGAGTGCAACACTTTAACAGCATCATCTTTTAGGATTTTAAATAGTGTAGCTGGAATTCCATCATTTCCACTAGCTTTGTTTGTAGTAATGCTTTTTAAGGCCCATTTGACTTCACACAACTGGTGAAGAATCTGTCCGCAATGTGGGAGACCTGAGTTGGGAAGATCCCCTGGAGAAGGGAAAGGCTACCCACTCCAGTATTCTGGCTTGGAGAATTCCATGGACTGTATAGTCCATGGGGTTGCAAAGAGTCGGACACGAGTGAGCAACTTTCACTTTCACTGACTTCACGCTCCAGGATGTCTGGCTTTAGGTGAGTCACCACACCATCGTGATTATCTGGGTTATTAAGACCTTTTTTCTATAGTTCAGTATGTTCTTGCCACCTCTTCTTAATCTCTTCTGTTGTTAGGTCTTTACCATTTCTGTCCTATATTGTGCCCACCTTTGCATGAAATGTTCCCTTGATATCCAGTTTTCTTGAAGAGATCTTTAACCTTTCCCAATCTATTATTTTCCTCTCTATCTTTGCATTGTTCATTTAAGAAGGCCTTCTTATCTCTCCTTGGTATTCTCTGGAACACTGCATTCTTTTGGGAATACTTTTCCCTTTCTCCCTTGCTTTTCACTTCTTTATTCGGCTATTTGTAAAGCCTCTTCAGACAACCACTTCGCCTTCTTACATTTCTTTTTCTTTGGAATGGTTTTGGTCACTGCTTCCTCTACAATGTTACGAACCTCTCTCCATAGTTCTTCAGGCACTCTGTCTACCAGATCTAAATCTTTGAACCTATTCATCACCTCCACTGTATAATCATAAGGATTTGATTCAGGTCATATGTGCATGGCGTCATGCTTTTCCCTACTTTCTTCAATTTGAGCCTAAATTTTGTAATAAGGAGTCTAAGATCTGAACCACAGTCAGCTCCAGGTCTTGTTTTTTGCTGACTATATAGAGCTTCTCCATCATTGGCTACAAAAAACAATCAGCTTGATTTTGGTGTTGACCATCTGGTGATGTCCATGTATAGACTCATCTCTTGGGTTGCTGGAAAAGGCTGTTTGCTACTTATCTTCCTCTTACATGACAAATATTAGAATACTAATTCCAATCTTGAATGTGGAGTAGCTCCTCTCGGCCCTCCGTCGCCTGCACAGCAGCCGCTCCTTGGTGGTGGGGTAGCTCCTCTAGGGTGGGGTAGTTCCTCTCAACTGCCACCCCTGACCTCGGGCTTGTGGTAGCTTTCTTGGCCACCGCCCCTTACCTCGGACGTGCTAAACTGAAGAAAGTAGGGAAAACCACTAGACCATTCAGGTATGACCTAAATCAAATCCCTTATGACTATACAGTGGAAGTGAGAAATAGATTTAAGGGACTAGATCTGATAGACAGAGAGCCTGATGAACTATGGATGGAGGTTCATGTCATTGTACAGGAGACAGGGATCAAGACCATCCCCATGGAAAAGAAATGCAAAAAGGCAAAATGGTTGTCTGAGGAGGCCTTACAAATAGCTGTGAAACAAAGAGAAGTGAAAAGCAAAGGAGAAAAGGAAAGATATTCCCATTTGAATGCAGAGTTCCAAAGGATAGCCAGGAGAGATAAGAAAGCCATCCTCAGTGATCAAGGCAAAGAAATAGAGGAAAACAACAGAATGGAATGACTAGAGATCTCTTCAAGAAAATTAGAGATACCAAGGGAACACTTCATGTAAAAATGGGCTCAGTAAAGGACAGAAATGGTATGGACCTAACAGAAGCAGAAGATATTAAGAAGAGGTGGCAAGAATACACAGAAGAACTGTACAAAAAAGATCTTCACGACCCAGATAATCACAATGGTGTGATCAGTCACCTAGAGGCAGACATCCTGGAAGGTGAAGTCAAGTGGGCCTTAGAAAGCATCACTACGAACAAAGCTAGTGGATGTGATGGAATTCCAGTTGAGCTATTTCAAATCCTGAAAGATGATGCTGTGACAGTGCTGCACTCAATATACCAACAAATTTGGAAAACTCAGCAGTGGCCACAGGAGTGGAAAAGGTCAGTTTTCATTCCAGTCCCTAAGAAAGGCAATCCCAAAGAATGCTCAAACTACCGCACAATTGCACTCATCTCACACGCTAGTAAGGTAATGCTCAAAATTCTCCAAGCCAGGCTTCAGCAATACGTGAACCGAGAACTTCCAGATGTTCAAGCTGGTTTTAGAAAAGGCAGAGGAACCAGAGATCAAATTGCCAACATCCGCTGGATCATCGAAAAAGCAAGAGAGTTCCAGAAAAACATCTATTTCTGCTTTATTGACTACGTGAAAGCCTTTGTGTGGATCACAATAAACTGGAAAATTCTTCAAGAGATGGGAATATCAGACCATCTGACCTGCCTCTTGAGAAACTTGTATGCAGGTCAGGAAGCAACAGTTAGAACTGGACATGGAACAACAGACTGGTTCCAAATAGGAAAAGGAGTACGTCAAGGCTGTATATTGTCACCCTGCTTATTTAACTTCTATGCAGAGTACATCTTGAGGAACACTGAGCTGGAAGAAGCACAAGCTGGAATCAAGATTGTCGGGAGAAATATCAATAACCTCAGATATGCAGATGACACCACCCTTATGGCAGAAAGTGAAGAGGAACTAAAAAGCCTCTTGATGAAAGTGAAAGAGGAGAGTGAAAAAGTTGGCTTAAAGCTTAACATTCAGAAGTCTAAGATCATGGCATCTGGTCCCACCACCTCATGGGAAATAGATGGGGAGACAGTGGAAACAGTGTCAGACTTTATTTTTGGGGGCTCCAAAATCACTGCAGATGGTGACTGCAGCCATGAAATTAAAAGACGCTTACTCCTTGGAAGGAAAGTTATGACCAACCTAGATAGCATATTAAAAAGCAGAGACATTACTTTGCCAACAAAGGTCCATCTGGTCAAGGCTATGATTTTTCCAGTGGTCATGTATGGATGTGAGAGTTGAACTGTGAAGAAAGCTGAGCGCCGAAAAATTGATGCTTTTGAACTATGGTGTTGGAGAAGACTCCTCAGAGTCCCTTGGACTGCAAAGAGATCCAACCAGTCCATCCTAAAGCAGATCAGTCCTGGGTGTTCATTGGAAGGACTGATGCTGAAGCTGAAGCTCCAATACTTTGGCCACCTCATGCAAAGAGTTGACTTGTTGGAAAAGACCCTGATGCTGGGAGGGATTGGGGGCAGGAGGAGAAGGGGATGACAGAAGATGAGATGGCTGGATGGCATCACCGACTTGATGGGCATGAGTTTGAGTAAACGCGGGAGTTTGTGATGGACAGGGAGGCCTGGCGTGCTGCAATTCATGGGGTCGCAAAGAGTCGGACATGACTGAGCGACTGAATTGAATTCCAATCACCCTCTTCTGTATTTGTTATCATATAGTTTAATTTCCTCAATTTTTTTAACTCCACAAAGCATTATTATTACTTTCTAAAGTTAGTATTTGTTTAGGTTTACTCATGTCTTTGTTACTTTTTTTGCTCTTCTTTTGGCTCAAACCTTCTGTTTTGGATCATTTTCCTTTTTATCTGAGAATATAATTTAGAAATTAGTTTAATGAGGACCATCTCAGTCCTCCTCTCAAAATACAGTTGACCCTTGAACAAAGTGGGGGTTATAGGTGCTGATCCATTCACAGTTGAAAATTCACCTTTAACTTTACATTTGGCCCATTGTATCAGCAGCTCTGCGTGTGAGGATACAGTGAACCTCAGATTGTGTAATATATGTATATATTGAAAAAACTTCACATATAAATGGACCTACACAGTTCAAATCCAAGTTGTACGAGAATCAACTATATTTTTGTTTCCCCCTTGATCTTGAAAGATGTTTTAAAAATCAATTTAACTGAGGTGAGACTTATATACAATAAAATACACACATTTAAAGTGTAAGCTTAATGAATTTTGACAAATGTGTATACCTGTGTAACCATCACCCCAGTCAAAATATATAGAACGTTTTCATCACTCCAGAAAATTGCTTCCTGCCCTTTTATAATCAGACCTTTTCCAGTTCCCTGCCTCAAGCAACCATTGATCTGATTTATCTCAGATTTGTAGTTAGTTTTGCCTGTTGTCGTCGTTCTGTTGCTCAGTCATGTCCAACTCTTTGCAGCCCCATCAACTGCAGCATTCCAGGCTCCCTGTCCTTCCCTATCTCCCATAGTTTGCTCAGATTCATATCCACTGAGTGGGTGATGCTGTCTAACCATCTCATCCTGTGCCGCCCCCTTCTTCTTTGACCTTCAATCTTTCCCAGTGAAAGTCGCTCAGTCATGTCCAACTCTTCACAGCCCCATGGACTGTATAGTTCAGGGAATTCTCCAGGCCAGAATACTGGAGTAGGTAGCAGTTCCTTTCTCCAGAGGATCTTCCCAACCCAGGGATCGAACCCAGTTCTCCCGCACTACAGGTGGATTCTTTACCAGCTGAGCCACAAGGGAAGCCCAGTCGTTCCCAGCATCAGGGTCTTTTCTAGTGAGTCACCTCTTCGCATCAGGTGGCAAAAGTATTAGAGCTTGTTTCTCCATCAGTCCTTCCAGTGAATATTCAGGGTTGATTTCCTTTAGCATTGACTGGTTTGATCTGTTACATCCTTTTATATAATTTCTAATTTTTTGCCAAAATTCTCCATCTTGGCCTTTTTTCTCCTTGAATATAGTAAACAGCTATTTTAAGGTACATATGTAACTTTAGTGTATGTATGTCCTGTTACTGTTTCTATTACCTGTTGTTTCTCATAGTTCTCTTTTCATGTAATTTTGTCTCTTTATATGTCTGATTATTTTTGATTGATTGTTGGAATCTGTATTTGAAAAAAAAGTGTTTGTAGAAATTATTTGAGGCCTACAATAGTGTTATATTCCTCTAGAGAAACCTTAATTCTGAGAGAAAATTAAACCTTTAATTCTCTAAGCAGGGTTTCCAGATAAAATATAGGACACTCAGTTGAACTTAAAAGTTTCAGGTAAATAATGAATTTAGTTTAAGTTCATCCCAAATATTGCATGGGACATACTTATATTAATACTAAAATATCATGTTTATCTGAAATTGAAATTTAACTGGATGTTCTATATTTTTATTTGCTGATCTGGCAACCCAGCTTCTACTGTATATAATAAAGGAGCTTATGTCCTGTTCATTTCAGTGATACTTGTTATGTTTGAATTGAGAAAATATTCAGAGAATTTTCTTTGTTCTGTAGCTGAAATGAGGAGACCTAATTGAGAAAGGTTGCTCTAGGGAGTGCTGCAAGGTGCTTGGGAGCACTAGTAATGCAGTATCACTTTAATCCAATTTTAGGGATTGAAATGGTTTGAAGCTAGGCTGCAGCCCCTATGAGAGCTGTTCCACTTTTGTCAAAAGCTCTCTTCAGCCTCTTATCTGTCTCTTCCTGAATTGACAGATACCCTCAGGGGAGAAAATGGCCTAAATGCCTATCTCTTATCTTTGAATTTCTGTATAGGTCTTGATCTTGTAATTTTTCACTATCCTGCTAGCTCTCTGATGCATTCAAGCAGATTTTTGAAAATTTTCCAGCTTTCCTAGATGCCTTCAGCAGGAGAGTTGGCCTTATCTGCCATCACTGGAAGCAATGTGTAATTTGAAAACAGCAGAAAACTCATGGGAAGAGTCTTAATTGAACTCTTAAGTCAGTATCTGTTTGAGTAGCATAAAATACTCTATCTTTAGGAAGGAATCACATATTTGGTACCTAATTCCAACTGTATGCTTAAAATATACACAGGCAAATATAGAATAATAATGAGGCAAAATATAAAATAAATGTAAGGGGTTTCTATCTACTTGGAGACTAACAAGCTTGAGTTTCAACCCGTCAATAAATACTATGAACCACTTATATTTTAATGCTTTGCTCAGTCGCTTCAGTCATGTCCAACTCTTCGCAGCCCCATGGACTGTATCCCGCCAGGCTCCTCTGTCCATGGGATTTTCCCGGCAAGAGTACTGGAGTGGGTTGCCATGCCCCTCATCCAGGGGATCTTCCTCCTGTGTCTTCTGCATTGCAGGCGGATGATGAGTTCTGAGCCACTGGGGAAGTGCTTTAGGTAATATCTAATTGTTAATAGCTTCTTTTATAGCTGTACCATATATAGCTTAAAGATTTGATCACTGAGACACTAAATATGGTCTCTCTATGGAGAAAAAAACTTAAAAAAAAAAAGTAAAAATATTTAGTTCTTCTGGAATACACCGTGGGTTTGGAAATGAGTTGTGTTACTACAGCTATTACTTAAGGAAGAAATTAAGGACAATATGAAAGAATTAAACTATAAGAGCAAATACAAACTTCTTTTTAAAAAACAACTTAAAGATGGATTCTGACATGCCTTAATGAATAAATAGGTGACATTTTTCTTGATGTGGTGTGTTAGATGATTGACAGAACCGTGAAGTGCCATTCAGAAAACTACAGACACAATCAATTCTCCAGTTCGTCTGTTTAGTTACTTTTAGTAAACTTTTCAAATGTCTTAAGCACTTAGGTGAGTTAGAAAACATGTATGAAGACAATAGGACTTCTGGTTTAAATACTAAGCATCTAATTTCTAGGCCTCAAATATTTCTAATTTCCTATTTATCCACATAATTATGGGTATGTGAAGAATCCATCTTCAAGTTGCTTTTTAAAAAGAAGTTTGTGTTTGCTCTTATAGTTTAATTCTTTAATATTGTCCTTAGTTTCTTCCCTAAGTAACATAACTAGTACACAACTCATTTCCAAACCCATAGTGTATTTTAGGAGAACTAAATATTTTTACTTTTTTTTTTTAAGTTTTTTTCCTCCAGAGAGAGAGCACATTTAGTGTCTCAGTGATCAAATCTTTTAAGTGTACAGTTATAAACAAAGCTATTAAACTTCATGTTTTTTCATTAGCTTTAATTAACTATTAAAAAGATGTCTTAAGTCTGTATTTCTGAAATTTTTTTTAAAGAGTTATGAAGTTGCAGCTGCCCTAGAAAATCAAAGCCACAAGGTTCGGTATTCAGATTCAGTGGAAAATGGATCAATTATATTTTCTCTTTCTGGTACAGTATATTTGCTGACTTCCTTGATTTAAATTTGTTAATAAATACGTGCATGTAAATTCTAATTATTCGGTAGTTCAGTAATGGAATAAGCTTAAGATGTTATTTTTGGGGAAAGGTGAATGTGTAATAAAACTTTGTTACTCCTACAAAAGCAGTACATATGGCCAGTTACAAAATACATTCCTTTTTAGATTATAATTGTTGAACTAAAGTTGAATCACTGGAGTCTAGTAGAGAACGGTACGAACTACTTGCTTTGAAACTAACATGAAAGTACAACAAAGCCACCCTCCCTAACAATCAACATTTAAAATACTACTGATATTAACAAAGAGACTAGCATCATATTGATCAAAATCCATATACAAAAACAATACAGGATGTAAAGCAATCATCCTTCAATTAAAAAATTAGGTGGGGAAAAATATAGGAGAATGTTTTTCATGATTTTGTACAAGAGTTTACTGAATGTAATATAAACAAATACTAACTAAAAGAACCAATGGGGACAAATGTTCCTGAAATCATAAAACTATACAACTGTGAGTCATAGGCAAAGGAATTAGATTAGGATATGAGAAAACTGGGGACATGGGAAGGGGGCAGCTCTACTTGTGCTTGGAAAATGATACAAGTGATAAAAAGATGTGGAGGTAAAGGATTTTATTATATTAGAATGGTTATGAATAGACCTGTACTCTAACAGAGATTTTGGAAGACAAGCACTTTCAAAAGCTCCTAGAAATAGACATCCAAGCTGAAAATGGTCCAACCTCAAATTCATCCTTCCTGGTTGGATAAAGAACCCTCTAGAGAGAAGTAAAATATTTTTGGTAAATACCTACTCTGTTGTATGCTTTGGTCACTTTATATACATTCTCTTATTTAAGCCTTTTAACAAACCTATCAAAGAACTATTATTCCAACCTTACAGATGAGGTAATTTAGATTCAGAAAGGTTATACAAATTTTAGCGTTAAGTTCATTCAATTAGTATAATCATATAGTTATTTACTTCCTGAGATTGTGTCTTCCACTCATCTTTTAAAGAGCTAATCAGATTAAGCTTCTTTTCTGGACCATTGTTTTTTTTGGAGGTGGGGTAAGACTGCCACATGGCATGCAGGATCTTAGTTCCCTGACCAGGGATCGAACCTGTGCCCTCTGCAGTGGAAGCACTGAGTCTTAACCAATGGACTACCAGGGAAGCCTTCTGGAGCATTCTTACACACTTGATACTGTTTCAGAGACCCTAGATATCTGCTCCTGAGTGTGTTAATTTATATAATGGTTTATGTTATGATACAAAAGATTCTCCAAGAAATAACTAAAAGCTTGCTTAAAACTACTTTTAATTGATTTCCAGCTTTTAAAAATTATAACATGAAAAATTAACATGTAACTAAAATTAGGCCTTACTTTCATTGTGGATAGTGCCTTAAAGGAAAAAAAGGGTTAGTGACCCAGAAAGGGTTTTTCCCTTAAATATTTAGATTGTCATCCTTTTATTACAGAGCACTTCAAAGACCTACCTAATTATTTTGCTGTGTAAGACTTTTGTTATAGTGATTTCCATCTGTTATGGGTTTAGGGCCTGGACACCTACAGATATGTTTAATTTATAGTTATTTTTGTTGATTTTATTAAGTTTATAAAAAATTTTTATTAATATGACGAAGTGACATTTTATATTACATTCACCTTTCCTAGGAGTTGCATTTTTATTGATGGATGCTAGAGAATGCTTTATGTCTGCTGAAGAAACATTTCTAGTCAAAATTGAGAAGTTTATTAACATTCACCAAAATAGTTTTTTGGTTCTGTCTGCTGCCCTGCATGGACCTGAAGAATGGAATCTGATGTTCAGGATTCAGCAGAGGTATGGACAGTAACACTACAGACCTGTTTTCCTTATTTTATGTACTTCAGTTCTGAATTGTTTCAGGCAAGTGAATTATGTTTTGCCAAAAGATAAACTTCATAATGTTAACCTTTCATTTTTAATACAATGCAAGCCAAAGAGCTATTCTATGAATGAGAGTGACAAGTTTCAGAATGCATGCTGATTTATGGATTTCTTCAGCAAGACTAAATCAGAAGTGAACACTTTTTAGTCAATTAAGTTCTGGTTTTAAAGCCATATTAAATCCTCTGTGGAATAAGGCAGGCATGAATGAATAAACAAATTACAAACAATAAAGGATTTTTGTCTCTTCTTTCCACTTAGGATAACAAATATAAGTCATATGATCTATTTAACTTAAACGATTTTTCCCCCCACCAGATTCCTGGGTAGTAACTTACGGATACTTCCAGTACACAACACAGTAAATGCTATTAATCTTATGTGCACCATAGCTAAGGTAAGTCACCTGAGGAAAATCACATACATATATACACACTGATCAACTTTGAGATTCTTTACTTCAAAATGCATTCCCTATTCAATGGAACTGACAAATACTGTTTCCCTTAGAGAAGCTGCTATTTTTCCAAACACATGCAACTCTTTCCCAAGCCTGAACTTGGCCTCTCAAGTCTTCTCAATTCCAGTAGCAACTATCAGAATCACTCATTTAGCTCAGAAGAGCATTTGATCGTATATACAGTGTTAGCCCTATTGGTTACTTAAATCTTCTTTCAAATTCTCAAGTATAAATATTGGTAGTCATGAACTGTCAGAGTGCAAACATGCTATTTTATAACCTGACTAGTTTCCACTTTTCTTTTCATGCTTGTTCTCCATAAAGTGTGCTCCCAACTCCCATAGGCAGAGTTAGGTGTTCCTTACTCTTTTACTTGGAACAGATCCCTGTTGAAGCATTCTTTTTTTCTATTTATTTTTATTAGTTGGAGGCTAATTACAATATTGTAGTGGTTTTTGCCATACATTGACATGAATCAGCCATGGATTTACATGTGTTCCCCATCCCAATCCCCCCCTCCCGGCTCCCTCCCCATCCAATCCCTCTGGGTCTTCCCAGTGCACCAGCCCTGAGCACTTGTCTCATGCATCCAACCTGGGCTGGTGATCTATTTCACCCTTGATAGTATACTTGTTTCAATGCTGTTCTCTCAGAACATCCCACCCTCGCCTTCTCCCACAGAGTCCCAAAGTCTGTTCTGTACATCTGTGTCTCTTTTTCTGTTTTGCATACAGGGTTATCGTTACCATCTTTTAAAATTCCATATATATGCGTTAGTATACTGTATTGGTCTTTATCTTTCTGGCTTACTTCACTCTGTATAATGGGCTCCAGTTTCATCCATCTCATTAGAATTGATTCAGATGAATTCTTTTTAATGGCTGAGTAATATCCCATTGTGTATATGTACCATAGCTTCCTTATCCATTCGTCTGCTGATGGGCATCTAGGTTGTGAAGCAATTCTTAATAGTACTCTACTTTTCTGGTTTGCATTGAAATTCCATAAAGACAAAGATCAGGTATTTTTCTATTACTCTAATAACTCATACATAGTACTGATTAATACCTATTGAATAAGTTAGGTATTTTATGATGTGACCCTGTAAAAATACCTTATTTCTTAAATAATGTTCCATGTTTATATCTTCTTCCAGATCACCTCCAAATCATACATAGATAGCATCTGCTACAGAATGATAACAACTAAAGCTTACATCATTGAGCGAAGTCCTGTGTGGAAAACACTTCAAAAGACAAAACTGAATAGTGATACATTTAACCCAAATTAGATTATCAACTATAAATGTTCTTTGGGAAGGATATTAAAATATATATAATTAAAAATGATTTTACTTTCAGAGTTCTGTTAATTCCTTTAATAATGTTCAAAAAATATTGGTACATGTATATAAAACTTAGAACTTAGATTGAAGCTTTTTAATGATACAAATTAAGTTGGAAGAACAAATGTTTAATTGCAAATAAGTATACAGCATTTTCTAATTAGCCCCTTGGGTTAAAGAAAAAGTCATATATACCTTTTTATAATACAAGCCAGCCACTATTTCTAAAATTAATCTTCACAGATACTTTCACACTGTAACTATTGCTGGAAAGCTGGTGATAGAGGACTTTGTCCTCTAAGACTCCTGAGGCAGGGAAAAAAAGGGAAATCAGGAGTAGTACACAGACTCAGAATTTTTCTCTAAGCTCTTACAGTGCTATGATAGCCAGTTTAACACTAAGAGTTCTACAACAGCATCTAACTGGAACATAAAATGTATCAGAATTTTTAGAAACTCACAACTGTATGAATAAAGGTAATTCCAGTACATTTTATGAAATCATAATATAAAATTATTGATTCATATTAGATTTTTCAACAGTAGTATTTAAAATACACATGGGCATTATTTACCATATAGATACCTTTTTAAAAGGAAACAATGCTACTGATCCATAATGTGTCACTGCTGAAACAGATAAGTAAGAGAAGCCACATTTATTTTCTATCAGTGTGTTTTACAGAAAAAATTCTATAAAGGTATTAAATAAACCATAATGAAAAATATATAGTGTATTACTAGTTTTTATTTAGGAGATGGAGCTTTCACTTTATCCCATATTTTCCTCAGAGGTAGACTTTGTTTTTGTTTCAATGAGTTCTTCTACTCGAGCCAGAACACTTTCAATCAAATCAAATGTGAAAAGAGCTGAATGTAGGACCTACAATACCAAGAAAAATTAGTTATTAAGGCTGTGTTTAAAACAAAGCAAAGCAAAAAAGAGAAAAGAGTTCAGTTGGATGTAGCTTAGGAAAATTTCGTATCTACCTTAAGCTGCATTTCAGGAGGCATATTTGGGATCTCCTCTCTACCTACATTTAGTGAACAATGATCTTTAGACTTCTGGACTTCTGTAAGAGAAGGAAAAAACCGTGTCACACTTAACCATTAAAAATTCTCAGATTTCAATAATAAATTTATAATTTGTACTAACTTAAAACAAAAATGCCAGTTATTTGTGTAAATTAAGTCTTATGATTTTAATAGCTAGTTGTGTTGTTGTTGTTTAGTTGCCAAGTCATGTTTGACCCTTGGACTGTAGCCGGGTTGCTATTTCCTTCTCCAGGGCATCTTTCTGACCCAGGATTGAACCCATGTCTCCTGCATTGGCAGGCAGATTCTTTACCACTGAGCCACCAGGGAAGATTTAATAGCTCAGGGTATGCTAAAAACTGGCTGTGAACAAATAAAAATATCAAAATTCTGTAACATGTGAATTAATGTTTCTTCAGGTGAATAGCATTATTTTGGCATGTACAAGATGAATGAAACTTTTGTCAACATAAAATCAGAATTATAACCTGTTACACTAAGACAAAATTTTTATTAATAGTAATGTCTATAGAAATATCACCATTGTTATATGGAAAAGATTACAAGATTATTAGAATAGAACTGCTGACTTTAAAAGTAATTCTGGACCTAAGATTCTCTTTTGTAATTTGTACAAATTTAGTAGAGGTTGAGATTTAGTAAAGATATCATGGGGGATGGACCCTGCAATGGGTCAGAAAGAAGTACAATGATATCCAAACAAATATTTGTAATACAATTAGATTCTAATCAGAACTTGAGGTTTTAAACCAGAATGCTCCAGTTTGGTTTAAATATTTAACCCAATTTCAGTATTAATTGGAATATATATTCACAAAGAATCATTTTAATTATAAATAAAATGACTCAGTTGTCATGGTTCCTTGTTGGCTATAAGTTAGACAAGTACAAGATAAAGTTCTTTATTTGGAATATAAATGAGTTTAAAAAATCTAATTTTTAGACTTAACTGGAAATGAAATTTCACAGTACCAACCTTGGCTATTCTTAATTTCTGCTTCATAATGTGCTTTTGACATATTGAGTCCTGTATGGAGGGGCTTTAAGAAATTATTCTCAATCTTTTCAAGTTCTGTCCACAAACCGGTCTGTTTGGAAGAATTAAGAAACAATTAGTTATTTCATTCAAGATTTATTGTCTACTAGTATTAAACAAGTGCTGAGTGTTGGAGAAACAGAAATGAGTAAGACAAAATCCTTGCCTTTCAAAGTAGAGTTGACTGTTTATTAATACATTCATTACTACATCTAGTTATTCGATGTAAATACCAATCAAAACAAAAATGCACTGGTTTAGCATATTCATTATTGTACCATTTGGACAGCTTCTGGTTTTGAGATCTGTAACTTAAAAGTTTTATCCATGAGAAAATTATCTGAAAATAATCCACATAGTCTGAGACACTTCTCTTTCCTTATAAACTATCTCCACAATGACTCTATGTTGTAAGTCCCTTCAACTCCTTATTTTCAAATGATATCCTTGTCACAGATTTAGTGCCAGAGGATTCTATTCCTTCTCTATTGATGGAAACTTCTAACACAAAGCTGACTTAAGACTTTCTTGGTGATCAATAAAGATGGAGATTTTACCTGCCTGGGACAGTTTAGGATTATTTTGTCATTTGTATTAGAGATTTTTGTTCTAAGAGCATTTCTTCCTACAGTATAAAAGGGAATCATGAAGTCTTAGTTTTGTTTTTTTTTAAATAAGAAAAAGAAAATTCACTGGTATTGCTCAGTTTCCAGTTACTTATTACAAAGGAAAGTACCTTAGGCAAAAAATGAAAACTTAGGAATCCAATTATCCTTAACAAGAATTGGATGATATGGAAACCTATTTTGTAATTGAGCTTATTTTGATCCAAGTACTATATAACATTTAACATATATAGCCCTCAAAAATAAAATCTACACGTATCTGTGTTGAATAATTTTTAATTTCACTGTCACATATATCCCTTTAATTTAAATCTGTCCTTTCTCATTATTCCTATGTTATGAGGAAAAGTGGAGTTCTTGAGGAACTATCAAGAATCCACAATCTCAAAAATATGCATACTTTTCCACTCACCATCTATGAACTTAACCTGGGGAAGAATTAAAGATGTATGTCCCATTGCTGTTTTAGCGGGGAGGAGGAGATTGTTTGACTTTATAAAATTAACCTCAGCCATATGGCTATTTTTCCATGCTTAGAATTGGTTTCAAATTTCTTTTAAACTAGAATTTTCTTACGTTAATATTTTTATAACTTTTCTTATGGACCAATATTAGCTCTGCTGGACGCTGACCTATCTTTTTATATGACTTTTTAAAGAGGAAAAACTATACACAGTCTAGGGGAGCTTGTCAGCAACTTTTACAATTCAGGAGCCATTAGCCAAACTCCTACTTTCAATACACCATGGAAGAAAGTTATACCTGCCTTTAAGATTATTCTTCTTTCTACGTGTTGTGTTGAAAAGAATCACCTATTTGCAGTAAGATTTCTGTTAAGATGGTTTTAAAAGTTTGTTATTTTCCTTCTTTAGCTGATGTAACTGTGATACTATTAACTCCTAAGCATCATTTCCTAAGAGAAACTTTACCTTTTTGGCCTTTTAAGAAGGCTTTGAAAGCACAGCTCTTGACAAAATGATTTATATTCTTACCCACTTTTTTATACATCTGTATATTTGACAGTACATGTTTAACGTCACAAAAGATACATACAAAAAGGCTTCAGTAATACTTTTATCATTAAAACACATATCTTTAAAAAAAAAAAATGCATACTTTTCCACTCACCATCTATGAACTTAACCTGGGGAAGAATTAAAGATGTATGTTGTAATGATTTCACTGCAGATACATTTATAAAAATGTTTAAATAGTGAAAAATTGGAAATAATGACAGTTTTTCACATCAGGAGTGGGGTAACTTCCATATCCACACAATGTTAAAATAGTACTCTTCAGTGCATATTGGTGAGTGGTAAAAAAGTGATAAAAAGGCTGCAGTATGACTCCTATAATATGATCTTTTTAAAAAAAGTATGTACAGATTTGCTGGTATAAAGCGTAAAAGGGCATACACTATAATATCAAAAATGGTGAGATTTTATTATTTTCTTTTTGCTTATTTATCCTGAGTTTTAAACAATGAACCTGTTTCAATTGTATACTTTAAAAAACATTTTTAAACATCCGTTAAAATCATAAGGTTTTTGTCCTTACATGAAAAACGTGGGTTATGCATTAGTACAGCAGAAACTTCAACGAGTACAGTCCACACAGGATATCAAGCACGTTACGCCACCATATGCACCCACTGCTTGCATTTCTCTTACGTTCCTCCCTCTCTCTCAGCCTTTTCTTTTACCTTCTCTATCCCCACACCCACTTTTTAAAATCTTCTTTCCCTTTTCCTCTAAGCTTAAAAGTAGAACCCACTGCTACTACCCAGTAACACAGATAGCTTTCAAGGATGCAGGTACTGATGACCCTCTCTACAGATTAAAACACATTCAAACATAAAGAGTCAAAGAAAACACCTTTATACTCACACTAAGCTTTGTCAAATGCAAACATCTTGCCCTATCTACTTAAAAAGACAAATTAGATATGGTTGAAGCCCTCTTTATTCAAGACTAAGCCATTAACTATGCAAAATTTGCTAAAACTTGAGGTTTAAGCAGTTAATATATTTATACATCCCAATTTTGCACGTTTAAAAATATATAAATGATATCAAAGCATCCTACTTTAGCTCCCTTTTGTTCAATCCTGTGTTTCTGAGGGTTACTTATGTTACAGCACTAATCCTTCCACTTTAACTGATATACAGGCATCCCACTATACGACTTATCCTATTACTAGTTTTCTTAATTTCACTGCTCACTGAAACT